CGCAATGATGGTGCCAACTTGGGCCAGTGAAGCAACGTCCTCCACAACTAGACTGAAGAACAAAACGACAGCAACTTGTCTGTTCCCCTTCCTCCAATTACCCAGTGCTGTTCCCATCCCCCAATTCCCCAATAAAAATCTTAAAAAAAAATAAAAATAAAAATAAATAAAAATAAAAGAGAACACAGGTAATTTTGCCTAGGAAATGAAGAGTTCATTATGCTATCATTACAGTTCCTAAATTTAAAAGTATGCAGACATTTTAACACTAGAAAGTATTTATAAAAGTTTGAAACTGGAAGAATTATGAATTATATACCCCATTTTGAAATAATCCTTGTATTATTGATGTCTCCATTTTTGAATTTTCATCCATTGTTGAAACCAAAGGAGCAATCTGTTCCTGGGCAAATTTTTTAACTGTAGGAAAAAAAAAATACTGGTAAGTCTTTATTCTATTAGTATGACATACATCAATTTTTTCAAAAAAAGTTTTAAAAATTCCATTCACAAATGCAGATGAACAGATCTGCCAATCATGTCACAGGCCATGTAATTTCATATTCAGACCCAACTCATGACCAGAGAAATATCGAGGTGAAATGGAGTTACTCACCTGTGCTCTTCATCATCATCTCCTCATCTGTAAATGTCTGCAGAGGGGCACAGGATAGCCTATCACTTGATATATTGAGTTGCGTTTCTGGCTGGGAAGATTTTAGAACACGAGGAGGCGTTTTCCAAGAAGACAGGCAAGTTAGGAAGTTTCTTCTTACCTACAAGAACAGTCCCATGGAATAGGGAACATACACAAGGTAAGAAAAGTGTCAGAACATCATTTCTTTGGTAATATAACTCATTCTTATAACACATTCTTATATGTTGTATCCCCAAAATAAGGGAACTTAACGTGGCACATTTTATTTTTATGACACACAACAGGTTAATATCTGTAATATATAATGAGCTCATACAAATTTATCATAGCACAGTACATAAGAGCAAAGGACACTGACAGTCCACAAAAGAGGAAATACAACCGCTTAACATGAAAAGACGTTAAACTTTGCTAGAAATCAAAGAAATGCAAACTAAAACACGATGCTATTTTTTCATTATCAAACTAGCAAATAGTTAACCAGATGATAATACTCAGTGCTGACAAGATGGTAATATGGGCACATTAATCCTTGCTGGTGGCAGTGTAAATGGATACATTTCTGGAAACCATTTTGTCAATACATAGTAAGAGCCTCAACAATTTTCATATTCTTTAATTCAATACTCCTATCTCTGGGAATCTATCCTAAGGAAATAACGGGACGCTGGGAAAAAGCTTTATGCACAAAGATATGCACCGATTTTTAACACTGAAAAATTAGTAACAGCATAGTGATCAAGCACTGCACTATTGCCCATTTGCTTGCTAGAGTACATGGCCATTTCAGAATAAAATGAGTAACAACATGCGCGTGGGGGGAGCCTGGAAGGAAAACACCAAAATGTTAAATTTTACTTTTCTCTTCTACTTTATTTTCCAAAACTTCTATAACGTGTAGATTTGCTGAAAAGACCTAGTAGGCTGTTACTTGTTTATGCAAAGGAGACTGTGATGTTGAAGTAAGGACTTGGTGTTCCTCCTGTCTCTACTGCGTCGGTGCTGTGCCAACCACCACCAGACCAGATTGTTAGGACCCTGAGATGACACAGGGAATGGCAGCTCCGCTCAGTGGACGATGAACTGCCCTGAACGCCCATCTCCTTGACTGGCAAGTTTTGGCTGTTGGCCGAACAACCTGCTCTATGCTCCCTTCCTCAAAGCCCTACCTTATGCCACCATCTCTAAGCTTCTAATCTAATGCTTCCTGAGCAGAGATAACCTGGCACATTTTAAAATTTCCTGTCTCGTGAACAAAAACCAAAATTGTCTTGCTAACACATATCTCCTTTATCCAGCAATGAGCTGTTCTAAACAAACATTTTCCAAATAATTAACTTTTACCTTTGAGGTAACAGAATTTTCTAGTTGGAACTCATTTTAAATCCATGGCTAGTTTTGTTTTTTCAGTTTCTCATTAGTAAGACACAGAACTGCATAAGGGTTAAGAAAATAGGCTCTGGAGTCTGAAAGAGCTAGTTTGAAACCCTAGCGTCTGATATTAAACAACTACGTGATCTTGGGCAAGTGATTTTTAACCTCCATTAAAATCTCTCAGTCTTAGTTCCCTTCCCTGTAAAATGTGGAGTTTTGTGAGGATCAGTGAGAGACTCCACATAAAGGGTTTAGCATAGTATGTACCATACGGAAAGCACTCAGTAAACGGTGAGGACTGATGAGTTGGGAAAAGAGTTACTGAGAATGAATCTGGGAGCCGACAGGAGTAGCTCTGAGTCCTCTGGCTAGCACTCCACTCGCAGGCTAACAAACACCAGGACAATTTCCAAAGGAAGCCAACTGTGACAACAGTTCTCAGAAGGGGCCATCTGCAACTGTAAACTAAGGTGACTAGCCCCCTGCATCCTGTGTAGAAAAACATAACACCCCATCTAAACAGCAACCTGTTGCATCTGTCCCTATCAGACTCTGCCTGGCAAACTCCTTTTTGCCAGTATTTCTCTTCTAAACAAAACCCGTGATAGCTGTCTTCTTTAGACACTGCCATGAGCATTCTCTCTGCCTGACTTTCAATAAAACTTTCTTTGCTTTCCTACTTTTCTGAGTCTTGTGAATTCTTTCACCTGCGAACGACCAGGGGCTAATTCTATGCCAGTACAAGGACTATTTCTACTACGACCACTGAGAGTTCAGCAGTGCTGGTCATAACAGCAGCCATCATAATAGTTACTTAGTCAAACTGCAAGGCTAGCTTTTCTTGCCATTAATGTGTCTCCCTATTGCAGCGTCCCAAATTCTTGAACTTGACAATTCTACTCAGCAATGGATTTGTTACAATTTTTTTTTTTNGTCCCAAGCCAGTTCTTAACCATCGCGCTACTCGGCCGGCCCTCGTTATGTTTTAAGTAATAAAATATATATAGACAACAGAAACTATATATATTTGAAAAGATGAAATTATAAACTACAACTATCAATTGTTTTCATTTGTGATCTAAAAAACAAAAATAAGAGCTAAAATGTTTTGAAAGATAATGGAATGGAATGAGAAAATATCTAATATAAATATCTTCTGATGACCTTTGTTGCTAAGCCCTGCTGTTGTCTGCTGAAAAACTGTAGGTGGTTCTTTGGTTTGGTTTTTCAACATGGACCCCTTTCTACTGATTTCAGTGTAATAAGAAATCTAGTTTCACTTGGCCTAATTTCTTCTATTATAGTCAGGCTCCCCGACCTTGACTCTTTCAGCCAAGATAATAATTAAATGACCATTCCTTTCAGGCCATTTTAGCAAATCCAGATGGTCAGCAGATGGCATTTGGTGGTGGTTTCTAGACCCACACTAGGCAAGGCCCAGCTGTCTGCTAGACATGGCCAAATGTTGGCCCAGGCTCTCTAGTAACTTTCTGACCGATCAGAAACTACTCCCAAGTCTGGAACATGACGCTTCCACAGGACTCCATTTTTCTTTCTTTTTTTTTTTTTAAGATTTTATTGGGGGGAATTGGAGGGGAACAGACAAGTTGCTGTCCTTTTGTTCTTCAGTCTAGTTGTGGAGGACGTTGTTTCACTGGCCCATGTTGGTATTGTGATCATTGCTCTTCCCGGGTGAGGCTGATTGGTTGCTGGCCTCTGGATGGCGGCTCATGGCGCCTCATGCTGGCTGCTGGCCACACACGGTAGCTTATGGCAACCCACTGCAGCAGGGGCTGCAGCCTACGCCATCGCCGGTGACTCACGGCAGCCCAGCTCCAGGTTGAGCTGTTGTTCAGCATCTTAGCTGTAGAGGACAGTGTCACTGGCCCTCATGTGGAATCCGAACTGGAGCCCTCTGGCGTCCCAAGCCAGCTCTCAACCAACGCACCACTCAGCCGGCCCCACAGGACTACATTTTTAAGTGTCTTCATTTCAGGGAGAGAATGTGTGTACATGCAGTTCAAGACCCAAAGCTATTAGCAGACAGAAGGACAATGCTTCTTTCTGTCCTCTCCACTTTTGGAGTCCCACCACGCTGCAGTCTGGGTTATAGCTGTTATGTTTTAAGCTGACAGGAAACTTAGCTCGTCTGAAGGTAGAACCACGAGGAGAGAGGACTGAAATGGTGAGAGAAGCAGAAATGACGTCTATGAGGAAGGACCGAAGGATTCAGGTGTGCCTGAAGACCAGGGAAGGCATGATAACTATCTGACCATGCCTGAACAGCTATCAGAGACACCGCTTCTCTAAAAAAGTCACCAATTTCTCCTATGCTGGAAATACTGTTTTTGTCACCTATTATGGCCAATGACCATAGAACTGTGACAGCAGGAGTTGGGAGTCAGGTGAAGCTGAAAAGAGCTGGTGCGGGATGTGCCACCAAGCAGACTCTCCTGAGGACGCTACATCTAAGCGAGAGTAGGTTGTGGGGCTGGCGGGCAGCTAATTGCTGCAGACGACCATGAACCAGCCATCTGGGAGAGTGATGCTGAAACCGCAGAGCCCTCAGACTTCTCAGAGGAGCCTAGAGGTTCTGCACACCGCGGAGATGAAATATGCCCGAGAAATGGACTCGCTCGCGGATGAGATCTGACCCTCCCCCCCATCTCTCCACATAAGATCCCACTTTCCCAAGAGTTTCACTGTTAAGAGCAAGTTGGAAAAAAATCACTACTATATATGGTGTAAAAAAGCTGGTCTCTGGCCGGCCGAGTGGCTCAGTTGGTTAAGAGCTCGCTCAAGAGTTTGAGCTCTGAGCAACAGCGGTTCGATGCCTGGGCCGAGCTGAGCTGCCACTGAGCTGCCAATAGGCAGCAGGATGGCTCAACTTAAAAAAAAATAAAAATAAAAAATTTAAAAAAAAAGCTGTTCTCTTTAAAAAAATGTTGAATAAATAAAAGCAGTTAAGTGGCAAAGGCTATTTTTCAAACAGAACAACAGACAAGATTTAAGCCAATGGCTCTGAATAGACTCTATTAGTATTCAAAATAAAAAAATAAGCATTGTTTTGCTATTAAGCTGCTATTAAAGGGCTACATGACTTAAAAAGTTGGAAATCACTTACCCTCGGTAATTCTGATATCGTCTTTGCTTTAACCACATTCATAGGGATTCGGGGAGAATATATGCTATGCTCTGAAGTTTTACTAAGGCAGGGTTTCGTAACCTTGGCATCATTGAGCTGAATAATCCTGAGGTGGGGCTGTCCTGTGCATTGCAGGAGGCTTAGCAGCATTTCTGACCTCTATCCCACTAGGTGCCAGAAGCGACAACCCAAAATACCTCCGGACACTGCCAAATATCTGTTGGGGACAAAACAGCCCCTGGACAAATACCAATGGTCTAAAAAAAAAAAAAATCTGTTTCTCTTGCTTCTAACTTTTTACTTGAAAAGCACAGCATTTCTAATTTAAAATTTTAATTCAATTAAAAAAAATCTTTAACTAGGATTAGGATCTCAATCTAAAAGAGAACACAGGTAGGGCCGACCTAGTGGCTCGTTGGTTAAGAGCTGGCTTGGGCCCCCAGAGGGCCCTGGTTCGGATCCCACATATGAGGGCCA